CGGAAATGTTTTAAAGACATTTGTACATCTGTAATAATGAACCAAAACACAGTAGAGTGTGAATCCTGGTCGGAACAGTGCCTTTCTGAGTGGAGTTTACATGTTTACATGCTCTGCCAAAGCAATTTCAAAGTGGTGACTTTTGTTACTTACGTGACAACAAAAATGATTCTGATTCTGATGTTCTCCCTGTGTCTGAGGAGGTTTCCTATGGGTGCTTCGGTTTCCCCTAACACTAAAAAAAATACAATGTGTGTAAATGTAATGAGTGATTGAATGAATGATGTTGGTTAGGGGCTTTGATGCGGCAGTGCGTTCAGCCAATTTTAAAAGGTCAAAGGTCAGACTTTTAGTAGTTTATAGCTAATTTATCTGTATATCCCAGGCCAATCCGCATTATGTTGAATTGTCCAAATCAACTATAGTCTAAGGATTCTCTCCAAAAAGTGGTGACAATGTTCTATGCTGGCAAGTACAAATCTTTTATGACAGTTTTGATACAATTATGTGAAAGCTGAACTTGTTATTACAACAGTATGAAGAAGTCAGTGATTTTTTGTTATCTGAAGGTTGAAGCTATTATATGTATTGACACCACTTAAAATCAAATGCACACTGCAAAACTGTGGTTTTGTCTTTTTTACCAACAATAAAATGTCTTCTGCTGTGACTTGATCCCAGACCTCCAATTCTTTTGACCATATCTTCACCAGCAGAAAGCACTTTAATTTCAGACATAGTAATAATCTGGAGAGTTTGTGAATCAAATCACCGGCAAATAAAACATTTGGATATTTCTTTCAAAAATACTTGAATTAATGAAGTTTGTTGATTTAAGGGTCAGCAAGGTATTTTGCAATGGTACTTGTCCATATTTTTTGAATCATGATGAACAAACAAATACAGTACATCTCACACTTGTCCAAATTGCTCTGATGCAAAGTACAGCAGATCAGTAGGTAACATGTTTGTGCACACGTGTGTTTGTATGTGTTTAAGTGTGTGTGCGCGCCGCAGACACGAGTGCACACACACACACACACACACACACACACACACACTCTTTAGCAACGAACTTAAGAGCGCTGAGAAATGATTGAATGAGAATGAAGGAATGAAAAGTGTGGAGTACGAGCAGAGCGACCGGAGACAGGGAGGATACAAGTGTGTGTGTGTGTGTGTTCTGTTGATTAAATAAAGACTGATTCTTGAAAGTCTGAAGTGTTATTGCAATAGCACCACATGGAGAGCGAGGGTCAGGACCATGGATCTATCATAATAACGGTCAGGACAGAAGAGCGCTATACTCATAGGAAACGCTTTTCTTTGGCGCCCCTCGACCACGGTCCGGGGGCTTATATGAAATGTTTGACACAAGCGGAGAATACGAAAGTGCAGGGAGAGACGTGTGTGAAAATGCGTGTCACAGGAAGACGTAATGTGACGCACAATATCAAGTCCCCACCACACCTAATCCCCCCACTCCCCACCACCCGCCACACTGACCCCCCTCATCTACACAGGGAAGCAGGCCCTGGCCAAAGTTTTTAGCCGCTCGAATGCCGCGGTCACATGGCACCTAAAGCCCGGATCTAATCGCGAAGCGAGCCCTGGCACAGGTCTAGATGGCGAATAGATCCAGGCTTTCGAAGCCGTGTGACCGTGGCAATTGGGCTTGGGCACAGTTGAGAGAGGTGGGCCTGAGCACAGATGTAAAGCCCAGATGGGGGTGGTCATTGTGGCGGGTGGTGGGGAGTGGGGGATAAGGTGTGATGGAGACATCATATTGTGCATCCCATTACGTCTTCCTGCTGTGCCCATTGTGACGTGCATTTTCACACGTGTCTCTCCCTGCAGTCTCATACTTATTTTCCCTGCTTGTGTTCAACCTTTCATGTAAGCCCCCAGACCGTAGTCAAAGGGCGCTGGGGAGTGTGTCGCTCCAGGGCCAAAGGGATGCGTTTCTTCTTCTGTTTTGGCCCTCACTGTTACAGTCTGGTGCTATTTCAATAACACTTTAAACTTTTATTCAAGAGTCACACGTTATTTTGTCGCCAAAACACACCAACATTCACATGTACTCAGCCTGGCTCCAGCCGCTCTGCTCGTACGCCACAATTTTCATTCTTTCATTCTCATTCATTCATTTTTCAGGCTCGCGCTAATTACTCTAAGGCATGCTCACGTATCCGCGGGCACGGTTGAAAAAATAGACCCTTCTGACTGCGGGCCGTCTACACACCCCTGTGGCAACGATCCGGGCCACTTGGCCTATTTTGTTTGTGAAAACCTATGTGACTGTGCCCTAAAAAACTGAAAATGACTGAGAGAAGTTAACGCACAAACAACGAGCACCTTAGTCTTTACAACATGCCTAATGATTTCATTCTGGAGTCTTGGACCTGCTGCATATTGGAGGCTGCAGATACCACAGCAGTACAATAGGGGTGCAACTATGCAGTGAGTAATGTAATAATGAAAGGGAGGAGAGAAGGCCACCCACTGAGAGTGTAAACAAGCCTTTTCATTTAGCGCACACTAACTGCCCCCCCACGTGTCTCCACCAGGTGCTATCAGCACGCAACACTCGCAGCATACTCCAATGTTTAATAACAATCATTAAGCAGCCTTTCCTAATTGTGCTGTTCAGGCAGGCAGGAGCAGAGGGTCAGGGCCAGCATAGACCAGGGAAAACACTGCTGTTAAAAGAGTTTGAATACTGCATTAGTTTATTCATTTGTGCAAATAAGTGTCATTGCATTTCTCTGGTTTAACTTTTATATATTTATACTATTTATTTATATATAAAAGGAAATGTTGCTATTTGATCTGAAAGGGCCGAAGAACAAACAAAGACATGTATAAATCGTAATCAGATTTCATCAAATGAAATAGAAACATTCAATGTTTTACTCTTTATCTGTTTCCTGATCCTGGAGGGCACTTCTTCCTCTCCACACACTTCTTGCGGCTCATTCGTAGTAATCCTGAGGCATTCTCATGCCAGTAACTTGGGTTTTCCCTCAGAAGCTCTGGGACATGGACCTACACAGGGAGGCGTCTAGGAGGCATTCAAAAAAAATTGCCTGGGCCACTTAGCAGCAGCTCTATTCCGAGCTCCTTTCATGTGACACAGTAAATAGAATATAAGAAATGCTGCTAAAGATTTAAGAATCATATGGCATTTAAGGCAACAGTGGTTCAGTTGGTAGTCATCACGACTCCCACTGATGACTGCTGTCGTTGTGTCCTTGGGCAAGACACTTCACCCCACTTTGCCTGAAGCCCCCGCTGAAAGATCAAGGCTCCTGTGGACTCACCACCTGCAGGAGGATCAGTGAGGGGCTGGTGCTATGTGTACTGGGTGCAGCTCTGGCTGCCACCTCTCCGACACAGAAATGGATTAAGGGGAAGAAAATGGATGGATGGATGTCATTTAAGATCAGATTAATATATGTATGAAACTATTGGTTCACGGCTACCAAACTACATAAGGAATGATATTTATTTGTGTGTATACAGACTACTCATCAATCACAACTTCTATCTTCTCCTTTAAAAACTTTTAAAAGTATCATTTTTTGGAAATTGTTGTGGACGTGTGCAGTAGTGCAGGGGTTAGCTGTGGTGTCTCACTGTCAAACAAGAATGGTCTGGTTCCATTAGCTCGTGTTTGTTCAAAAAACATTATGTACTGTCTAAAACAAACAAACAAAAAATAAGTATGAATAATAACATCAAAAAGCTGCTTGTCTCTTCTTTTCGGCAACAGTGAATAGAAACCACTGAAGAGACACACCGAGTGGATCAGTGTCCCATGCGTCAATGCAAACATCAAAGGGTCAATATTAAAGCATGGTTGTGTGCAGTGGATAGTAGAAATATATTCTTGTGACTGGGTGAACATTTCTATTAGTTCCTGTGTAATTCTCAATAATGTCTATTGGCTAATGAAAAAATGCAACATGTAAACATACAAAGTAAAATAAATGTGCCATTGATATGATTTGTTAGTGGTAAGTTTTTGTCTTACAGAAATTTCAATCTGTAAACTGAATAACTCCCTAATGTTCCCTTGCAGCTTTTGCATTTGAAAACTTGGAGTTGTTCCGTAGATCAATTTTAATTTAGACATATCTACCCAAACATCTCAGGCGTAGATATCTCTGTTCATAATAGATTGTTACCCAAAAAAGAGAAGCTCTATCGCAGAGAGTGGAGAGCAGTGATTGGATCATTGCTGTGTGTGCCTACTGTCCTCTGGTGGCGCTGTGTGTCACTGCAGCCTGCTATGAGTCATTCGCAGGGACCTAAGGCGCGCTCATAAATTAGTCTCTTTTAACATTCAAAAAGAGAAAGACAGCTGTCAGAGCAGAGAGGAAAGAGCCATAGGAAGACGAATATCTGTTGTTTATTTGTTTGTTCACTGCACAGTGCGAGAGAGCATTATGTATTTTGATAAGTAGTAAAACGTATATAGTGGTATAACGATAGAATATAAATGAAAATGCCTGCTTACGTAATATGTATGTTTGAGTCTAAAATACCAGTTACAATTCACTGTATGTTCTGAAGCAAGCAAATGATCATCAGCAAGTTCTGATGATGACAAACACCAACTGAGGCACAAAAGGCAGATGGAGCACAGACGTGTTCCAAAAAAAGCTTAAGGAAAGGCTTTCATTTTACCTCTGACAGACTCCCACATCTGGGGAATCTGTGCATGTCGATACGAAGAGTAAAGTGCACTTACTTAACTACATAATTCTGGAAACCAAAATCTAACATCACACTCTGACACATTTCTGTGAATTTACAGCCAATTTACAGTTTATTTTTAACAGTAAGGTACTAAAAGCAATGGATTGTGGGTTGATGTTTTTGTGGGCTATAGTACACCACAATTTTTCAAATGTCAGGTGTGAAGGAGCCAGTGGCTGGGTCATAAGAGCTGATTGTTCCTCACGTTGTGGGCAGCTGCTGTGGAGCAGTGGTCCTGGATGGTGCAGGAGCAGTGGTCCTGGGTGGTGCAGGAGCAGTGGTCCTGGATGGTGCAGGAGCAATGGTCCTGGGTGGTGCAGGAGCAGTGGTCCTGGGTGGTGCAGGAGCAGTGGTCCAGGATGGTGCAGGAGCAATGGGCCTGGGTGGTGCAGGAGCAGTGGTCCTGGGTGGTGCAGGAGCAGTGGTCCTGGATGGTGCAGGAGCAGTGGTCCTGGATGGTGCAGGAGCAGTGGTCCTGGATGGTGCAGGAGCAGTGGTCCTGGGTGGTGCAGGAGCAGAGGTCCTGGATGGTGCAGGAGCAGAGGTCCTGGATGGTGCAGGAGCAGAGGTCCTGGATGGTGCAGGAGCAGTGGTCCTGGATGGTGCAGGAGCAGTGGTCCTGGGTGGTGCAGGAGCAGTGGTCCTGGGTGGTGCAGGAGCAGAGGAGCAGAGGTCCTGGATGGTGCAGGAGCAGAGGTCCTGGATGGTGCAGGAGCAGTGTGTATGTGTTTGTGTGGCTGTTATTTCAAAGATACAAGATTCCCTCAAAATTGGAGTTTGATTCTCAAAGTACACCTGTCCCAAAGACACAAACGTTTGCAGTCACATGTTACTGGTATAAGTGGGATGTACTGACCACTGCAGAAGCAGTAACTTACACTGAGTTCTGTCAGTTTGTGACCATCCTCATCCTGAGTGAGGATGGTCCTCTCTTTTCACTTTTCTGTTTGAAAAAGCTGATCTTAAGAAAGAAAACTTTTTTAGAGCCAGGAACAAGAAACATTGATTTACTTTAATCCAGGATATTTGTACAGGAAGGTGATTCATGAGTTCACTGTTTTTATCTTTCTTCTCCCTCGGTGCTGATGTGTGATGGAACATGCATTGTTGCAGTGGAATACTTCTCAGTCACCACTCTTCCAAAAGAGTGTGACTGAGATTCCATGACTTTTGTCATGGAATTTAATTTTCCTTGCATTATTGTTAACATTGGCATTGTTTGCAGAATGCAAATAATCGTTATATTCGCTGGTGTTTTCTTCTGTATTATTATGTGATTGTGGTTTACATACCACCAAGTAATTGTATCACTAAAGAAAGAAAACAGTATAGTGCTGGCAGCACTGTTTATACAGGTATGTACTCTTTTCTATACTCCTGTTTGACTATTTTACATTTGGATACAGTACATTAACAGTATTGAGCTGGCGACCTGCTGTCTGCTCTTTACTGTTATTCTACGGTTAAAGTATTTGCAGTATAGGATTTTAAAATAGCACTATCCACAGTTGACATCAAACAACAGCAGGAGATGTGTATAAAGAAAATGCAAATAGGAATTTAACTGGAATATGTGTACATACATTAAAAAGTAGAAATTATAAGGTGAAACAACAATAATCAAGAGTAAATAATTGTATTTGCCTGCCATATCCCTATGCTACCACCAGAGGAAGATGCAGAATTATTTTTCTCTTTTTTTCAAATTTGAAAATTACTGACTGAAAACACAGCTCTAACGTAATTTAAATTGTGAAATTGTCAAAACTAGGCGCATGGCGGACCTGTCAGAGGAAACCTAAGTAGACACAGGGAGAACGTGTAAACTCCACACAAGAACTCCCCCTCTGGAGGTAGAATTGAAAATACCTCCATGACCGGTTTTTGATGAGGGAACAATGTAGTGACTGGAGTAAAAACATTATGTAGTATGCTTTAAGGCTTGAGATGAGTTATATGTTTAGAGGTAGCTCAAAAAGGTCAATCTAGAATTATACATTTCCCAAAGCGTGTCTCACTGACATTTTCCAAATCCGTGCATTAAACCACCAGTGGATATTATTCATGCTCATGTGGAGGTACAAGCGTGCAGAGGCAGTAGACAGTCTCATAAACACAGGAGGAGGAGCGGGGAGTGCTCCCAACATAAATGTCAGCACTGTTTATCCACGCGCTCCTCCCTGTCCCCCAACACCCGTGCCGATGACTACGGACGGCGGGCAATTTCCTCAGCCACAGCCCCATGACCAGCGCTTTGGAGCAGGGTATGAGCCTGCCATTCACTAGAACTTTCATTAAATGTGAGAACACACTTTTGGTTCAAGCCAAGTGGGTTTTCCTCATATCACGTGTTGTGGTGCTTCCAATGGACATCGCCAGTTTCATGGTTGCAATAGGTTGCATTCATGTTCTTGAAAACATTTATGAGCAAATAATTAGACGAAAGTTGTACTACTGATCATGTCTGTTTTTAATGTTTTATATGGACTCTTTTGTGTTTCAACAACCGTGGCTCAGTTGGTAGAGCATTGGCCTCTGAGCCTGAAGGTTGTGAGATCGATTCCCGCAAGAGACCTTCTCCATCAAATCCCTCTGCTGTCGTCGTCGTGTCTTTAAACCCACTTTGCCTGAAGCTCCCGCTGAAAGATCAAGGCTGTGACAGAGCAGCCATCCTCCTGTGGACTCAGCACCAAGTTCTTTGCAAACAAGAAAGTTACTAAAGATAAGTGGGATTGTGTATGAGGTAAATTGCTTCATATGTATCCTGTTTCAAATGTAATTCTCTTGAAGTTTTACTCTGAACAAAAAATCAGATTTTTCCAACATACACAATATCAAAAACTGGTCAGAAGTATCGCATTTAGATATTTTACCAAAATCACGCAGCCATCCATTGTTGATTGCCGGTTGACTGACCTTGTGAAAATATGGAGAGACGTTTTTTGAATGTGCCAGTGCCCCCACGGCTTCCTAATTGGACATGATGAATTCAAATCACATGCTCAAAAACAAGTATTATTTTCAAAAGGAAATACAATTCATATAGCACATAACGGCCTCGTTATGTGCTATATGAATGTTATCTGCATCAAACATATTCCCCCATTACTGTATTAAAAGATAACGCCGTGCATTTCTCTCAGGCTGTTGCCTCACTAACTACTTTGTTTTCCATCACAGGTCTGTGCTGGGTGTTCCATCATGTAATTACAGTGTGGCAGGTGGGATAAGGCTGAATGCATTACCTAAATATGCTTGATATTATTAAGCCTTCCATCCGCCACCATAAATAAGGCGTTGGAATATTGTTGGTGGAATAGGTCAAATAAACAGCTCACAAGTAAAGAAGTTCTCTATCGTGTGCATGTCATCAAAACTATAATCATCATTCATTGTTTTATTTGTCATTTTTGTATAGTGGCACATAGAGTACAGTGGGGCAAAACAGGTTCAGATCAGCCACCAATTTTGCAAGTCCTTTCACTTAAAAAGTTGAGAGAGATTATTATTTTGAGATATTTTCGTCTTAGATATGCCTCAACTATGAGAAAAAATAAGTTCATTATAAATATCCATCTCAGTACTTTGTTTTTTCTGCATGTCTTCACAAGGTTTTTCACATTATTTTGGCCCATTCCTCTAGGCAATCTCTTTTAGGGCAGTGATGTTTTGGAGCTATCACTATAGGCAACATGGACTTTCAACTTCCTCCAAAGTTCTGCTATGGGGTTGAGATCTGGAGACTGGCTAGGCCAATCAAAAATCTTGTAATAACGGCTTATTTAACGAGCGCAAGGTCTTTTTGCACAGACCTCGCCACGGCTCGGTCTGTACAAAAAGGCCGCGGTCTGATATTTCCCTGTACAGACTGAGCAAGCGAGGTTAATAGATGTTTTATTATATGACTATTTTTAATTTGTGCAAATATCGATGGGTTTCAACTAGCAAACACACATGCAACCAAACTGTCAAATCGTGACATGGAGAACTTGATTGGGGTCGCCCGCTGGTAAGTTCTCAATCTCTTCTGTGTCTTTACCAATGCTTTTTAGATATTTGTGAAGTACTGTATGTTCATGTCCGACTTGGTTTTCCTAATCGTGTTTTTACCTTTCTGGTCTGTAACAAAGTTGTCAATCTCTTCTTGACTGTTAAAAGTTGTGTTTTCGTCGTTATTTGCTGTTATTACTTCCTCTGACTCTTCGAACTCGTCCGGATAATAGAATTCACTGTGAGAATGCTCCCCGTCATCACTCATTATTTCTTTTTTACCGAAATTTCATACGCGCTGCGGACCAATTGTCATGGTAACGGTCCGAGATGGGAAAATGTCAGACCGCAAATCAGCCAATCAGAGCGCGCGTACGATCCAAGTCATATAATAATGCTTCTTACAAAACCACTCCTTCCAGTGTTTGGGATCATTGTCATGCTGAAAGACCCAGCAAAGAGACATGCATGGTTCCATTAACTTTTTCCTTTTCAGAAAAAAACACTCTCAAAGCATAGTGTTTCTACCCCCATGCTTCACAGTGGGTATGGTGTTCAGAACAGAAAGTTCTGAATTTGGACAAAAATGATTTCCTCTTAACCTTTAGACAAGCGGCCCCAGCGCTTGAGGGTCAATACAGATCTCTATTCAATTACTGCTACAATTGCAAGACAGCTATGTAATTCCACCAAGCATCAATTATCATTTACTATCAACATTTTGTGAACCCACAGTTTTACTTGACCGGCTATTTTATTCCGTGAGGTTACTTCCTTGTCAGTTCCATCAGTGAAAAATGATGATAGTGCGCTTTCACAGTCTGAAGGCAGCTAATGGAGCAGAGAGAGTTTTCTGACAATAGTCTCCAACAAGGACAGACAAAGCGGACACCGGAGAGAATAAACTTGTTCTTCACAAGATCATACAAAAGCAAAGAGTGTGTGATTTCTGACATATGATTGTTGTTGTCATGCATACAGTATTATATCATATTGAATACGGATGAAAAAATCTTAGGAGCTTTTGGTTTTGGTTTTGACAATGGGGTGTATGTGTGATATGACAATATTGTGCATTTGACTATTCTGTGTTAGAGCCATAGTTGTTTAGCCATTGTAATTATTAATTAGCTATCATCAACATTTTTAACATTGTAATTTATGACAAAATGTTTGGTTTGGAGTGGAAAAGGGTGGGACACATTAAAATGATGACGATGGCTTCTCCATGCTCGAAGACATGGCCTTGGTCTTTCAGCAGGGGCTTCAGGCAATGTGGGGTCAAGTGTCTTGCCCAGGGACACAGCGACAGCAGTCATCAGTGGGAGCAGCAGATGACATGGGTCATGGTGGATTTGAACCCACGACCATTCAAAGACCAGTGCTCTACCAACGGAGCTACTGTCGCTATATCTACTGTATATATATATGTATGAAATATACAAAGTTTAGCAATCTAGCAGTCTACAATAACACCTCTTACATACTGTACATCAGGCAACTTTATTGGAAAGTCACATTGGATTATAAAACCCTCAGGTATATGTGACGCCTGCCTACACAGTGCAGCAGGTACTTGTCACATTATTTTTTTACACTTCTTTTTACAGACTTAACAGCTTAGCCACTACTCTCTCTGAACAACTTATGGCTGCCTAATCCCATCGACAACGGGGCTTGCTGTCGGAGTTCCGCTGCTCTGACAAATGACGGGAATTACAAATAGGGAGACTATGGGAAACGTTGATTCATGACTTGTACTTAAGTTTGCTACAAAACTTTTCAAACTAAATGAATCGACTGCCACATAAATCATCTCTCTGGAGGGAACTTTCAGGAAGGTTTCCTGGTTTGGATCCAGATACAGTGCCTTGCGAAAGTATTCGGCCCCCTTGAACCTTTCAAAATGTCGCCACATTTCAGGCTTCAAACATAAAGATATAAAAATTATTTTTTTTGTCAAGAATCAACAACAAGTGGGACACAATCGTGAAGTGGAACGAAATTTATTGGATAATTGAAACTTTTTTAACAAATAAAAAACTGAAAAGTGGGGCGTGCAATATTATTCGGCCCCCTTGCGACAATGTTTTGGATCATTGTCCTGTTGGAAGATAAATCTCCGTCCCAGTCTCAGGTCTTTTGCAGACTCCAACAGGTTTTCTTC